TTTGTGTTATTGTTGAATTCTAACTTTAAAGCATGGTGGTCTGATAAGACACAGGGGGTTATTTCAATATTTTTGTACCTGTTGAGGTTTGCTATGTTGCCAAGTATGTGGTCGATTTTAGAGAAGGTTCCATGTGGCACTGAGAAGAAGGTATATTGTTTTGTATGTGGAAGGAATGTTCTACAGATGTCTGTTAAACACAATTGCGCCATATCTTCTATTAGTTCCTTTGTTTCTTTGTTAAGTTTCTGTCTGATGTTCCTGTCCAATGGTGATAGTGGGGTGTTGAAGTCTCCCACTATAATAAGAATGTACGCTTTTATGTGTGATTTGAGTTTTAGTAATGTTTCTTTTATAAACATGGATGCCTTTGTACTTAGGTCACAAATGTTTAGAAGTGAGACTTCATCCTGATGGATTTCTCCTGTGATGAGTAGGAAGTGACCTCCTTCATTCCTTTTGTTTTTAGTTTAAAGTCCAATATGTTGGCTATTAGGATTGCTACCTCTGCTTGTTTCTTGGGTTCATTTGATTGGAAAATCTTTTCTCAACCTTTAATTCTTAGGTACCATCTGTCTTTGAAGTTGAGGTGTGTTACTTGTATGCAGCAGAAGGATAGATTCTGTCTTCTTATCCATTCTGCTAACCTGTGTGTTTTTATGGGCGAGTTAAGACCATTAATATTGAGGGATAGTAATGACCATTGATTGTTCATTCTTGTTTGTTTTGGATTTGGTGGTGGTGGTGAAATTAGGTGTGGGTTTCCATCCCTTTTTTTCTTTTGGCTGTTGATAAAGTGGGATTATTTATTGCCTATATTTTTTCTGGTTGTAGTTAACTTCCTTGGCTTGCAGTTTTCCTTCCAGAACTTTCTGTAGGGCTGGATTGGTGGATATGTATTTTTTGAATCTGGTTTTGTCATGGAGTATCTTGTTTTCTCCATGTATACTGATTGAAAGCTTTGCTGGGTATAGTAGTCTGGGCTGGCATCTACGGTCTCTTAGTGTAGGTAGAATATCTATCCAGGACCTTCTAGCTTTTAGAGTTTCCGTAGAAAAGTCAGGTGTAATTCTGATATGTTTGCCTTTATATGTTACTTGACCTTTTTTATTTGCTGCTCTTAATATTTTCTCTTTATACTGTATGTTTGGGGTTTTGATTATAATGTGGCGAGGTGACCTTTTTTTTTTTTTGGTACAGTCTATTTGGTGTTCTGTAGGCTTCTTGTATTTTCATTGGCATGTCTTTCTTTACGTTGGGAAAGTTTTCTTCTATGATTTTGTTGAATATGTTTTCTGCACCTTTGAGTTGGATATCTTCACCTTCTTCTATATCTATTACTCTTAGGTTTGGTCTTTTCATGGTATCCCATATTTTCTGGATATTTTGTGTTAGGGATTTGTTGGACTTTAGATTTTCTTTGGTTGATGTGTCTATTTCTCCCAGTGTGTCTTCAACACCTGAGAGTCTCTTTTCCATCTCTTTGTTGGAATGCTTGCATCTGTAGTTCCTGATCGTTTATCCAGCTTTTCTTTTTCCAGCATTCCCTCAGATTGTGCTTTCTTTATCGTCTCTATTTCAGTTTTTAGGTCTTGAAGTGTTTCCTTGAAAGATTTGATATCTTTTATTTTTTGGTTTGTGTTTTTGTTGTTGTTGTTGTTGTTTGTTTCTTTAAGGGATTTTCTCATATCCTCTTTGAGGCCCTCTATCATTTTCATGAAGTTGTTTTTAAGGTCATTCTCTTCTGCTTCATCTGCATTGTGATGTTCAGGTCTTGATGGTTTATGGTCATATCCTCTTTGAGGCCCTCTATCATTTTCATGAAGTTGTTTTTAAGGTCATTCTCTTCTGCTTCATCTGCATTGTGATGTTCAGGTCTTGATGGTTTATGGTCCCTAGTCTCTGGTGGTGTCATTTTGGGTTTTCTGTTGTTGAATGTGCTTTTACATTGTTGTCTTCCCATCCTTTCTTCTGGTGGGTGTAGCAGAAGTTTCTTCCTCTCCTGGTAGGTATGGGACCAAGGTTCCCTTCTGGTAGATGCAAACAGTTCCAATACTCTGATGTCTGTCGTCTTCTCCTGGATGGAGGCAGGACTGTTACTGGGGCCTTGGCAGTCTCTGGGTGTGCTGGATCCCACTGGCCGAGTTCAGATCCCGTGAGCAGACTTCTGGCGTCAGGTGTCCCCAAGTAGGGCAGGGGAACCCTAATCGAAAGCAGCCCCTGTCCTGAGATTAAACACTTCTAAAGACAGTCACTTCTTTTAAAAATGTTCTTAATGTTCATTTAGATACAAACTTAATGTTAAGTCAGTTAATGTTATAATGGTACATATAAATGGACTGATAGTTTCATATCAAACCTGTCATCCATAACTTGAATGACAACCAGAAAAACAATCACCAAATGAAGAGCAAGATTTCCCCCCCAAAACTATTTAAAACTATGATTTAGAATAAATAAATGTGGGTTACAGAGACAGCTCAGTAGTTAAGAGCATTTGCTCCTCTTATAGAGGACCAACCTAGGTTTGGTTCCTAGCAACACACTGAGGTTCACAATGTCGCTCCAGCTCTGGTGATACTATGCTCTCTTTTGACCTCCAAAGGTACTAGGTATATACATAGTGCACATATACACATGCAGCTACACACTAATACACATGAAATAAAACTAAATATTTTTTAAAAAAATAAGGAGATGTATTTTAAGTGATCTTATTTTCATACTAAATTTAAGTCTTCCATGAAGAAATAATTAAAAATAGACTAAAAGTCAGCATTATACCTGGCAACCACTTTTAAGAATTTCAGTTCATACAGAGATTTTAGAAAAGCATGAATTTCAAAATTTTTCAAAAACTCATTCTTCCTTTTCTCTTTTCCAGGACATAATGTCAGCTTTAGTTAATAGATGCAACATCAAAATCAGACTTTTGAAGAAAAAACAAAAATCAAATAGAAAATATTTTAATGCAGTGCATTTTTCAGGAGTAGACATGAGTTGCATTTACATATTACTTTAAGTGTTATAGTCTAAAGAGATTTTCATTAAACAGGTGATTTGGTTTTGCATTGAAATCCAAGGTGTTTTGGGTAGTGTAACTAAAATAACTTCTCAGAAGTTTGCATGCATTTCTCTCCATAAATAGCCATTATCATTTAAATACATTTATCATAAACATGCAAAAGTGACAGAAATTTATATTATTCCTCACTTTTATTGTATGTTAACAACTACCAAATTACAATCTTTATCTTATGTCCTGTTTTAACTTGAAACAGCCATAACATATTGTCACATGATCTGTCCTGAGTCCAGATAATCATCATACTTGGTGGAGGATGGCTTTAGAACACTGATTGCCCATTTTGCATGTAAATACACACTTTAAAAAGTTATACTTAATTCTCATAAAATTATCTATTCTTTGGGGATAATTAAAATAATCATAGTACTCTGTAATTCTCTCTTATCTATAGTTTTAGTCTACTTGTAAATTTAATAGAAAGTGGATTAATGGCAACTAATTTATAAGTCTTTAACTACGAATTTCAAAAATAATTTGTAGAAAAACCTTCTTACTAAATTTCACCCTTTGTACAGATTTTTCAGTGTGTGTATGTGTGTGGGGTGTATTCTTATACAGGCGTATGCCTGTGTGGCTATATGCCTGTGTGGGTGGGTTTTCTGTTTGGGTATTCATGTGGAGGCTAGAGATTGACACTGGTGTCCTTTCAGTTGCTCTCTATCTCATTGTTGGAGACAGGGTCTCTCTGAGCCTACAGCTCATGGCCTACACTAGGCTGGAAGCACCAGGGATCCATTGGCCTCTGTTCCCCACATCAGGGTCACAAATGCACATTTCAATATCCAGTGTTAAATCTGAGTGCAGAGTATCTTAAGTCCCCATCCTTGCATAGCAAGACATTACTGATGGGGCCATCATCACAGCCTTTACCCATTTTTTTCAAGGATGTTTTGTCAGTTTTGGTTTAATGTGTCAGATGCATGGTATCTACTTATAGTCTAATATAAAAATAAATTTAATGGAACTAACTATGATGTAATCCTAGCAAATCTCTTGTCACACAATAAAAAGATGATGTTTTTGTTCCTCACAGACTAAACTTGTTAATGATTATGAAAGCAACTTGAGGGTGAAGACTATGAGTGTTTCATAGACACTGTATAAAAACTAAAGTAACGTAAAAGTGGAATGGAAGGGCATGGTGGCACACGCCTTTAATCCCAGCACTTGAGAGACAGAGGCAGGAGAATCTCCAAGTTTGAGACTAGACTGGTCAACAGGTGAGTTCCAGGACAGCCAGGGATACAGGGACACCCTGTTTGGACCCCCTCCCATGAAAAAAAGAAAACCAAAAGAAAAAGAAAAAAGTAGAATGGGAAGTCATGAGCTCGCCCCCACCCAAATAGTAAGACTCACAATAATAGTTTTTTCTCAGGGTTACTGGATCTGTATTACAAAGAGATAGAACATGTCATGAAATGTATATGTCACATGTTTCAAGTTCTAGTTGAATACACTGACTTTCGGTTTTAACATCTTAAGTATTCCTTCAATTTCCAAACAGATTCACTCATCCTTCAAGCAGCTTCAATTCTCTGGGTGACAAATACTACAACACATTAAAAATTGTTATTATGAATGTTGCTACAAAGAAAAGACTGATGAGTTATTATTTCTTTTAGAGTGGTCACTTTTTATTAAGTACATAAAAACAGAAAGAAAATAAATATATATCAGAAATTATTAATGTACAGCCACTCAAAATTCAGAAATATGTTTTTTCATGTACACATACATGAAATAAAATAATACCATAACCAAAGGGTGCTGTATGCGTGTTTAAAGAAGGGGTTGTTGGCAAACAGCACAGCTCACTATTGCTGAAATGTACACAACTGATATATGCAGCACAGAAAGCTGGCACCGAGGGCTTACAACCTTAATTTGCCTGCAAGAAGGAACGGCCATTTACCTTCAGAGCACGTTCCTGATTGTTTTCAGCAGTCGGATGTCTCATGTTGTTTGCTGAAGTCTGCTTCTGCTCTTTCAGACGATGAAGCTCCTGGTGTAGCCGTTTGCACTGCCACGAGGGAAGAATATCATTAAGTAACAGAGTTAGCATTTTTTTAACGAAGCCATATGAAGTAATGTAAATAACACCACTGTATTTTCTCAAAGACAAGGATTTCTTTTGCAACAGAAAAATGTTGACTACAAACAAAATAACACTATATACAGAACTTTGGTAATTCAATTACAATTAGTCTTATTATAAATATTATATTGAAAGCATTTAGCTTCATAATATTGGGATCAAACTATGTTCAAATTATTTTATTTGTTGGTCAAATATTTCTAGTTAAAAACCCATTGTTGAATAAAAAGCATGCACCTAAAATTATCAACTTATATTAATCCTTTAAAAATAAAAACGTGTGTTAAGGGACAATCCAGATTTTTAGCTATTTGAAACATTTTACATAACTATACAGACTATAAAATTATATGGTGCAAATTAGGAAGCTATGAAGTTAAAATGGGACATTGCTTAAAGCAATAAAACATAAAACCCATGGTTCAGGATAGAAATTAAAAGTTACTCGTGATTACTTTAAAAATAGTATATTTGAATAATAACCAATGAATGGGCATACTAATTTAAGATTTGGACAACACCCTTTGTAGACTACTTTATAAATGGCTACTTGCCATAGTGAATAGAAAATGATTAGTTTTCATGTTACAATCAAAATGTAAGCTATGATTCAAATTAGTACTTCTTACTATGGCCTCAATTTCAATGTGCCATCTGTATCAGTACTTCCTTGGAGTAATATACAAATCTTTTGAAAAGAAAAAAGAAAGGCTTAACAGGCTCTTCTTAATGTTGATTTAGACTACCTGAGGTTGATATACACATATAAAATTTACTGTACACAGCTCATGCATATAAAATACTGTTAGCACACTGACCAATTAAATAAAGTAACCATAAAAATCAAGACATTTCAAGTTAATATTAATTTAAATTTGCTCACTGCTTTATGAAGATAAATTCTGGGGCATTGAGGAGATGATTTGTAAGGAAAGGTACCCACTGCACAAATGAAGTTGTGAATCCACATCACTAGAACTAAGAAAAAAGTCAGATACAGTACTATGTCTGCAATCCTATGTCTGCAATCCTAGTGCTCCTATGGCACAATGGAATGTGGAGATGGGAGAATGCCCACAAGCCCGTTGGCCAGCTGGCTTGTCTCAAATTAAGTGAGATAACCTGATGTTATCCTCAAAACTCCACATGCATGCCAAGGCATGGGTATGCCTCCGCTCACACAAATGAACATGTAAATATATACATATGCACATTGTACAAACACACAAAGGTAAAATATTCCAAACTTATGATGTGGTGCTCACTGGTTAAGTGGCAGTTCTCTTTCATTGTTATGTTCATTCTACTATGTGTTATGTGACAACCAATGCATTTATCACATTTTATAAATGTGACACAATTCCTTTCATTATTATTTGGAGGGAACACGTGATTACCATTACAGTTTATCTATTTTTGGCTTTTCAAGCTCACAACAACAAGAAATTCTGTCTCATAGTGAAAATAAAAATTATGTACCTGAGAATAAACTACAGCTTTTATCTACTATGATCGTCTCTATCTTTCGATTAATTTTATAAAGAAATGATTAAGTATCAAAAACTAAAGACTAAATGACCTATGGAAGTTCAAAGGCAAAGTAAATAATTTCAGCCATAGAACAAAAAAAATTTATGAAGCAGAGCAATCTCAAATTGGACTTATTTTCAGTATATTATTCTGTAAGATGAAACTAAAAATAAAAAAGAACACAAGAGGAAAAGAATAAAGGTAGAAGTATCAGAGGAATATTAGGAAAAATGAGGAGCATCAAAAGTTGTCTGGTACAGGGAAACTTCACCAATGATATCTCAACAACATGGCTGTCTGAACAAGACCTGAGGAAGTACACCACCAACAGACATGCTAACATGAAAGGGAGGGATCTCATGGTACACACAGACACACACAGAGAGTGTACACACACAGAGTGTACACACACACTCACACACAAAGTGTACACACACACACACACACACACACACACAGTTTACACACACACACAGAGTGTACACACACTAAATACTAAAAAGACAGGCCACATTTTTGAGAGGGAACATGGTATGTGTGGGGTATGTGAGAGGGTATGGAGTAAGAAGAAAGAAGGAAAATTATGTAACTATATTTTAATTTAAAATTTTATAAAGTTGTTGCCAAGCAATATGATTTTTTTCAGGAAATCAGCGATAACCTCAAAATAAATACTTTTACCACACATTTGCAGCAAAAACAATAAATAAAAACTACTCTTGCTTAAGAGATAAGTATTAAATTTATTTACTATGCTCATGAGATTTGGACTTAATATTAATATTAATCTGAGATTCACTGACAGTGAGAGCCAAATGACTGTTTTGAAATAAGAAATAGAATAAAAGTTCTTTCTACGTATACATTTGTGATTAATATTTAATTATACTGAAGATTTCTTTAGACCTATTTAATCCTATATGATTTATTTATGTAAGTCTATAGTTTTCAAGTTGAACACACTTCCCACAATGAAATTATGAGAAATTATGAGAGAGGGCTATTGAGATGGCTCAAAGGCCAATGGAACCCAAGGACTTGATAATCTGAGTTCAATTCCTGGGACCAACATGGTAGAAGAAAAAATTAACACACACACACACACACACACACACACACACACACACACACACACACTCTCAAAGTATTTTAAAATATGACTAGTAAAAGCGTCCACACTAGAGAAAGGTAATGTTCCAAGATGATAGCTGTGTTTTTTGTTTTTTGTTTGTTTGTTTGTTTCTGTTTTCAGGTTTCAGAAGCAGGAGGTCTCAAGACAGTGTGTATGAATGTGTGTGTGTAGTGCTGGGTATCAAACTCAGGGCCTGGAGAATGGTAGGTGAACACTCTATCACATGTACAGGTAAAATGGTAAGATGGTAAAAAATAGTACTTAGGCATGTCAGACAAGCTTCTACCTCAGAGCCTTTGCACTACTGTTTCTTCAGCTTCCTTTACTCCTTGCAAAGATATGCAGTCATTAATTACAATTTCATTTTTAGACATTTTTCACACATCATTTTCTCTCATGTCTTTTTTATTTAAAATTAGATCATTTACTTACATTTTTGTACTATATATTCTGTGTTTACTGTCTCCTTTTCTGAGTATAGGCATTTTTATTTACTTTGTCAAATTCTCTATCTTTATTACCTGTAACTTCCTAGCAAAGTAACTGATTAATAAATACTAGTTTAATGAAAATGCACTTCAGATGGCTGGGCAGTGGTAGTATATGCCTTAATCCTAGCACTGGGGAGGCAGAAGCAGGTGGATCTCTTGAGTTCAAGGCCAGTCTGTTCTACAGAGCAAGTTCCTGGACAGTTCCTGGATACACAAATAAACCCCATCTCAGTAACAAGGAAGAGAGAGAGAGAGAGAGAGAGAGAGAGAGAGGAGGGAGAGAGAGGGGGTGGGGAGGGAGGGAGGGAAGGATGGAGGGAAATGTACTTCAGAATAAGTGTTTCTTTAGACAGGAAATACTGGCAAAGCTCAAGAAGAAATATGTTTGTTACATGTGTCAGTTTTTCATAACCTGAAAAGCTATTTATCTATTATATAGCCACAATAGTTTCTGTAATGTCATTATCTGCCTCTTTATGTGTATTTTAATTCACAAATTAAAACTTTAAATCCCAAAGAAAATTGAAGTTTGAGTAAAAGATTAAGATCTTTATCTACCTTACAAACATATAAAATCATCTATTATAATGATTTAACACTTATTGGTGAATAGACATTTAAATCTTTTTCAATAAAATTTAAAACTAAAGACTTTAACAGAAATAAAAAAAGAAGCAAAAAGAAAGCTCAAGAGTTTTAACAACTGGCTGCTAGATATTTTAAAAACTGAGGGATCCAACACCCAAACTCAAATGCTCTAACACTCCTTGCTGGGTTCTGGGCTGTTGACATTCAAAACCCAGAACTATAAGATTCTGACTAAAGCAGAGAGAGCTATAAGTCACTAGCTCTGAAAGATTAGAGTCAAGCATTGGAGTCCAGGCCTCTGAGGTCTGAGTTTGCTTTGGCCTAAACACCTACATGAACTATAACCTTTCAGTTTTAAGTACCTGAAGACAGAGCCTCTAGTTCTCAGGGTCTATATCTATAAGAGTGAGCTTGTATGTCTAGCTTATAAATCTGAGACTATCATCACCAACAGAATTGCTCTTTGCCTATATGTGATTTCCACTCCAACAGAACAAAAGGGGTTTCATCTGCTGTTTACACAAATTAGGGTATTTCTGAGGTTAATAGAATTTTGAAAATTACACCGGATGTTCCATGACATCATGGAATTACCAGATTTTTTGATGAAATAACACTGTGGTTATTATGGTTTGAATGTGAAACATCCTATATAAGCTTATGTTTTTCCACATTGTGTCCCCAGTTGTTGGTGTTACTTTGGAACTTTGTGAAAAGATACAATTTGGGGCCTTCCTGGAGGAAACGACACTGGGTATGGGACTTCAGGCTGGATATTCTAGCCTTTTTCTTGTCATTTCTCTGATTGCTGACTGAAGAATGATGAAAAATGACCAACAGAATAGTACTCCTGCGATTATGGTTTCTTTCCAGGGATGGACTGTGTCCCTTCTTAAATTGTAAGTCAAATAAACCCTTCCTTCCTTAACTTGTTTCTTGTCAGTTGATTCAAAACAATGACACAAATAATAAGGGATTATTTTTTAAAAGAGTTCATATACTTCAGAGATACACAATAAAATTATGGACAATAATAAACTATAGTTTAGGTTTTCTTTAAAACAATAGGGGCAATGGATGGAAAACATAGCTATTTAGACAAACTATGCCTTAAACCATTAACCTCCTACCCTAGTGTCTAGGTGCTTGGCTTATACATGTGTGGCACAAAGAATTTTAAAGAT